CCGAAAATTTAATTTGGCCCAGATCGATTACCTTACACCCAATTATCTCTTTATTAATTTAGTGTCCTAGTAGTTATAAATTTCAACGTACTCAACACACATAACTTTAGGTTCCCATTAATAACTGGTGCAGCTAAACATTCAATCACGTTGATTGTTTTTCTTTTTCAATGTTAGAACAAGAAAAAACAATGTCATTTTAAATAATTTTCAATCATATCAAAGAGGGAACATAGAATCACAAAGGATGTGTCAATCGATAGGAAATAAGACCATAATTGTTCTTGTACGAGAGACAAGGGTATTAAAGTCAATTTAGCAAGTAGACGAAGGAGTGGGGTAATCATGCAGTGCACACAATTCGAAATTCAAAAAAGTGGGTTGCATGTTCTTGAACCGGCGTCGGTCGAGTTATGACAAAACTGGACCAATTGGTAACCGAAAGAAAGAACAATTGCATAATAGTCATGGTTTCAGTTTTTTTCTATATTATCTTTACCTCTCCCACAATAAAATAAAAAACTAAACTATCAAAAAACAAATAATTGATATTTTGAGTAAGTTAATATATTCAGTAAACATAATGGTGGAAAGTTTGCAGTATAATTTTTTTTTTTTTGTCGCAAGTGTGTTTTTATTCATACTGCAAGCCAAAGTAACAGGCCAAATATAAAACATACAGACCAAACTAAATAGACCAAGAAAACAAGGTAAAGGCCCAAAAGCCCAGTTTAATAACTTTAGTCTGAAGAAAAAAACTGTTGTTGACAGCACAAAGGACACGTGGCAACTGAAAAATATGTTGGGTGACACGTGAGAAGTTGAAGGAGATGGAGTTTCCGTCACCGGCAGAATCTTCTAACGCCGGAGAGCTTCAATTCTGGTCGAAATCGCCAGAAACCTAGTGTAGTCGGTAGATCCCAATCTTCGCCCAAAGAAACTATGGCGAAATTTTAATTTAGCTTGATGAGAATGACTCCACTTAATTCAAATCGGTTAATATTCTTCATCTTCTTCTTCAAAAAACAGCTTTTCAATCTTTAAGCTGCAGTTCATCAAACCGGTCCAAAAGCTAGCCTATAACCGCCGAAGAGATAAGCAGTGATACAACTAGAAACAAAGCCAGCCATCAGCGCTATATAAGTCGCTCGATGCCGGAGACCAGAGCCGAAACAAAGCCGGACGAAGGTGCTAGTGAAGCCATCTACGCCGGAAGCAAAGCCAGCCTACACCACTGAGAAAGCTACTGCAGCCAGACAAGAAACCCGCCTCAAGCGGGGCCAAAGTCACCGGAAAAGAATTGCCGGCAACATATGAACGGAAAAACTTCTTTCTCTCTGAAAGATGAAAGAGAGAGAAGAGAGAGAAGAAACCGGTTTGCAGTATAATTACATTATTCTTTTCTTCTTCTGTTGAATATTAGTACTATAAATGATGATAATATATTAAATATAACTCTATGCAACGCTTTACTACACTATGCATTGTTTGAATACAAATCGAACGATTATATGGACATGATCAACAACGGATATGTGATCCACACCACAAAAATCTAATGACGAATGTTTATATTCGCCAGCATCACATCAACAATGAACAACTTTTTTTCCTACAATAGATGTCAAGACCATAATAACCGATTAAACATGCACTACCATGTATAATTCGGATTATCATCTGGTAATCGAATTCCATATTTAGTGTAAAAATATTAAATAAATCATTGGTCATTGGTTATCCTTTTAACAAAAAATAAAAATAAAAATAAGTTATTGGTTAACCACTAGACTAAAAAGACTTCAACTTATTATTTAACTAATTAGTATTGTTATAATATACAAACAAAATTAACCAATATATATATATAACACTTAATAAATTTGTGAATATATCCCAAATTACCATTGGTTTCTTATTGATCGACCGACATATTATCATTTTTTAAATTGATAAAATTACAAAAAACGACTTTCAAAGAAAATGAAAATCTTAAAATTTTAGTTATATTTTTCTATTCGTTTAAAGATCTGATAAGTGGTTTAAAGTGATTTTGTGTTAAATTTCTATACCTATCATTTATATAAAAAATATTTCTCTGTCTCTGGGGTACTCGAACCCACCGTCTTTTGTAAATTTCGTATAAATTCTTTCAATAAAAATCTTCTAGGAAATTTTTTTGTTTTATCAAATAAAATTATTATTTTTCGTTCCATATAATTTTTTTCCCTTCAAATTTTTGCTTTTATTAGAAAATAAATATTCTCGGTTACATCAACCAGACATAATAATCTCAGTAAGGTATTCAAGAATAGTCCAAATACACAATGCATGATGCAAAGAAAAGGAGATAAGACATAGAAAATGTTTACTTCCTAGGATTGCTACCAGACCAAAACACATTGAGTACAAAACAATAACTATTTTCGAATAAAATCTACTTAAGAATTTGTGAACATATTCCCAAGGTATTACAGTTAAAAATGAGGAATACTCCAGAGATAAGACAGAGGAAATTTTTACCTCCTACGATTGCAACTACTTGATATCTTTCTGGGAACCTGCAAGTTTTCATAATATTTCACCATTGATATGATGATTGAACTAATTCAAGCTTACCTATTTTTGCATAAAATCTACCGAGATATTTATGAATATTATTCCTTTAAAGTATTCCAATTTAAAATAAGAAATACTCCAGAAATAGAAGATGCTGATGCAAAAAAGATAAAGACAAAGAAAATGTCTACCGCCTAAGGACTGCAGCGTCATGATAGCTTTCCGGGCACGTGTAGGTTATGCACCAGTGGTTTTGATGATTGAACTGATTCTATGTCTCTGAGCTTGAAATAACATTAGCTAACATATCCAAACAAATAGGCCTTACATATATTCGCATGAAATTCACCGAGGAATTTGTGAACATAATCAATCTGAATTGAGAATGTGAATCTTTGTTGAACGATACTTTATTCCAACAAAACTCCTTTATGGAGTGATACAAGGAAATTCACTCCAATTACTTGACCACTAAGGTTGACCAATGGTCCCCTGAGCTGCCCAGTTGCCCATATGTATGGAACATTCAAATTATATAGTATCACTAGATTTATTTGTCCGCGCATTGCGCGGAATATCAAATTTAAACCGACTACAATATGAATTGTTAAATAATGATAATCATTTGAATTTCAAAAACTATCTATATTCATATTTGTTTTACAAAGCAATATACAACATAGAAATTACAAAAATGTTTGGTACGTACCACATAATAACAAAAGTTATATAAGATGAATAGGTCACAATAGCCATCTATGACATTTTATCGAGAAGAGAGTTTATTTCATAATCATATAATGTTAGTATCTTTCTTGAAGTTTTGACCTAATTGTACCCAATACTAAAAGTAAATTTGCTGAGTTTGAATATCAATTTTTTAAATATAGAAACGTAATATTCATGCCACTTCCATAGGTTTGGAGAGCAAGATTAACCTATTGAAGCATGACAATCGTCCCTTTCACTAAGTCATGAATATCCCTATCTTATCTATCCAACCACGCTTACATGACTCAACGGTTTAGCCTGATTTTGAATATGATAATCTGGTTTACTAAATTAAATCATCTAAATCATAAAAATTCATTCATTTAACATCGTGAATGAGATCATAATGAGTTTACTTTTTTTTTTTTTTTTTTACCGTAACTCTATTTTAGAGTAAGATATTGATACATTGGAGAAAAATCATGCTCTATTTTAGAGTAAAAAAATATAAATTTATATTGGGGATGGTCTTAGTCATGTGCATATACATATATTCAATGCTTAGTCAATTTATCTTCAAACATTTTTCACTATCATTTTGTCGTCATCTTCTATGATGCACTTGCTCGCCTCCCAATATCTACTTTTCTTTTATCTTCTATGCACTTACATATAATAGAACTTTGAATTGATTCGTAACTCAAATTATTTTCTCTTTTTCATTTTTATTAGTCCGTTTTCTCTTATTAATTTCATGATTTTCTTGTTCACTTGAACGTCATAAATTCTTACGCAAAACATATACTTGGTGAAAATTTTCTCAACACTTAATTATTTAGATTCTTACCTATATTTGAAAAGTTACTTTTTATTTTGAAAGCAAAAAATAACATATATAAATCTATTACTTTAACTGTTATATTTTACTATAATTTTAATATTAAGATACAATTAATCTTTCTATTTTTTTTGTCAATGTGAATTTAACTTTCACACTCTTAAAATATAATTTCAAATTTTAAACATGAATTTTTTCAAATAAATTATTTATCTTAAAAAACTTATACAATCATACATTTACGATACCATTTAACCATTTAATTTGTTTGTTCTAACCTAAAAAACTATATTTAAAAAAATTTCATTCACTTCATAATTAACTCTCTAAGTAATAGTCAGTAACTACTATATCTAAGTAATAGTTTTAATTCTATTGTTCGTGATAAAAATAAATATATTTAGATTTATAGTTAAGATTTTTTCTTAACATAAAGTTATCTTCCTCATTAAGGGTCTGATTGGTACTAGCTATAGCTTTACATTTTTTGCTGTGGAGATATGACTGTAGGTTTATTGGCTGTGACTGTAGATTTTATTGGTGTAGTATTTTCGTTGTAGAATTTAAAACTTTGGAAAGTTAAAAATTATATTCTTTAGAAAAAAATGCTTTCTACAACCAAAAAATTGAATTAAGGAAATATTTTGGATGTAAGAAAAATAAAAATAAATCAAAGCTTCTAAAGCTTGATTAGATCCATTTTAAAATTTTTGATTTTTTTTTTGCTTTGTAAAGTACTTAGTACTTACCTTACCAATCAAGACAAATCAAAATAGTGGCTTGATAGAATTTTGAGGAGCCTAAGTTTAAATGGGCCTTAAATCTAAAGCATAAGCCCAATAAAATATTATAGCCCCCTTCGAATCATCTTCTCCGATAGGCATCTCACATCCTTCTTCCTTTGTTTTCCCTTTGATCGGAAAAATTTCGGATGCTCATAAATTTCAATTTTTACGAAAATGATTTCGCAGAAGTTAAGCAACGTCGATGTATGTATAAGAGATTGGCATGGAAGTAAATCACTGCAGATACTTTGAAATCAATACTTGCTAAGGTTCGTGTTCTCATTTCCGTTGAAAATTCTAAGTGAACGAAGCATTATTGGCCACGCAAAGACGAAAATTGATTTTGACGAAGACGTTTTGATTTTCTTGAATTTTCGTCTCCAATCTCCACTATTTGTAATTTTGTCTGCAAGAAAACTAAATCACGTTTCTATATAAATTAATGGTGCTTCATCAAAAGTCTTCAAGTTTAATTGCAAAATTGAAACATTGTTTATTTTTGGCTTGGAATGAGGAATTATAGATCATTACTTGTTTTATTGCTAAGTTTGATATTAGTTTTGAATGTTGTACGAGCTAGTGATGAAAGCAAGGTGAAAAAAATTGATCATTATCTTTAGCAGACATCAAATAAGAGAAAATAGGTTCTGACCAAGTTTTGGTTGTGTTGTGTTGATAATCAAATAGGTTCATATAGTGTATTTGGGGGAGAAGCAACATGATGCTCCTGAGTTTGTCACAGAATCTCATCACCAGATGTTATTGTCACTTCTTGGAAGGTACAAAGCTAGCTACTTGATAAAGTATTCAACTTCATTATATGTCTCAACTCTCAAGCTGTTACTAATGGTCTTTATCTTGTGTTACAGTAAAGTGGATGCTCATGAATCAATGGTGTACAGTTACCGACATGGCTTTTCTGGCTTTTCTGCCAAGCTTACCGAGTCACAGGCCAAGAAACTTGCTGGTACTCTCATAGTCTTGTTGTTATCTTAAGTCTCACCATGTCTTTGGCTTCTTAGCATATCTTAAGTCTCACCATGTCTTTGGCTTCTTAGCATTTTGGTGATATGATCTAAAGTTAGTAAATTACTTTGATTTAGTTTCATTGTTGATGCAATTTTGGAAACAGATTCACCTGAAGTTGTTCATGTCATGGCGGATAGTTTCTATGAACTCGCGACAACTCGGACTTGGGATTACTTAGGTCTTTCTGTTGCCAATCCGAATAATCTCCTAAATGATACAAACATGGGTGACCAAGTTATCATTGGCTTTATTGACACAGGTATATGTAGTTATCATTAGATCGTAGCTTGATCTTAATTCATGTTTTTAGATCGTACCTTTATTGTAGAGCCCCAATGACTTGCCGTTTTGTGAGGATATAGGAGTGTGGCCAGAGTCTGAATCGTTTAATGACAATGGTGTGGGACCAATACCAAGGAAATGGAAAGGAGGGTGTGAACCAGGAGAAAAGTTCAAATCAACAAATTGCAACAGAAAGCTCATAGGAGCCAAGTACTTTATCAATGGGTTTCTTGCTGAAAACGAAGGATTCAACACCTCAGAATCACGTGACTACATTTCCGCTAGAGACTTTATTGGACATGGCACACACACAGTCTCAATTGCAGGTGGTTCATTTGTTCCTAACATAAGCTACAAAGGACTCGCTGGAGGAAACTTGAGAGGTGGTGCACCGCGTGCTCGCATAGCAATATACAAGGCTTGTTGGTATGTGGATCAGCTAGGCGTAGTGGCTTGTTCATCGTCTGACATCTTGAAAGCAATGGATGAAGCTATGCACGATGGTGTTGATGTTTTATCACTCTCTCTCGGCGCTCAAATTCCTCTGTATCCTGAAACCGATCTGCGTGATAGGATTGCTACTGGAGCGTTCCATGCAGTAGCAAAGGGCATCATAGTTGTTTGTGCAGGTGGGAACTCTGGCCCAGCGGCTCAGACCGTTTTAAACACTGCTCCTTGGATCTTAACAGTGGCTGCAACCACTTTGGACCGGTCCTTTCCCACACCTATTACACTTGGGAACCGCAAAGTGATACTGGTAAAGCATAGTAGATGTTTTTCCTCTGCAAACGTTTCTGTTTTTCTCTAATCAACGAAACACAACCCAAATCTTGAAACTATCGGATTATGAGTTTTTCAACTGTTAATGCAGGGTCAGGCACTGTATACTGGTCAAGAACTTGGCTTCACCAGTTTGGTTTACCCAGAGAATCCAGGGAACACCAATGAGACTTTTAGCGGGTATCATCAAATTTCTAGCTTTTTTAAGACTTACGTGCAATGTTCAATAACAGTTTATGTCAGTTATCTGACATTTTTCTAAATATGTACGTAACATTGTGCAGTGTCTGCGAGTCCCTTAATCTCAACCCAAACCGTACAATGGCAGGGAAAGTTGTGTTGTGTTTCACAACAAACACACTCTTTACTGCTGTATCGAGAGCTGCCTCTTATGTGAAGACAGCCGGTGGTCTTGGCGTTATCATCGCAAGAAATCCAGGTTACAATCTCACTCCATGTAGAGATGATTTCCCCTGTGTAGCCATTGATTACGAGCTCGGGACAGATATACTTCTCTACATACGCTCCACAGGGTATGAAACTATGAATAATTAGCACACACACAGTTGGTTTCGTTCCCTCCAAGAACCATAAATTTTTATGAAAAGCAGGCAACTTTCTGAATCAGTAATATCTTTTGGCTGGAATTGTGGTTTGCAGATCACCTGTTGTGAAGATACAACCTTCTAGAACACTCGTTGGACAACCTGTGGGGACAAAGGTGGCAACTTTCTCATCAAGAGGACCTAACTCGATTTCCCCAGCGATTCTCAAAGTATGTCTAAATCCTAATTTTCAGATTTTCTGCATCAGATGTTTTAAATAACAAGAAAATGTACGTTTTTTGCAATGCAGCCTGACATAGGGGTACCGGGAGTGAGCATATTAGCTGCTACATCTCCCGATTCCAATTCCAGTGTTGGGGGATATGATATTCTTTCAGGAACATCGATGGCGGCTCCAGTTGTTGCAGGAGTTGTTGCACTTCTTAAAGCTTCGCATCCTAATTGGTCGCCTGCTGCCTTTAGATCAGCTATTGTCACTACAGGTTCGTATTTTCATTCAATAACAGAACCAACTGATAGAAAGAGAAACCTTGAATTCCCCAATGGACACACTTGTATCAATAATTGTGTTCACTGCTTTGCAGCATGGAGAACAGATCCATTCGGAGAGCATATTTTTGCAGAAGGGTCATCTCGCAAAGTAGCTGATCCGTTTGATTACGGTGGAGGCATTGTGAACGCCGAGAATGCAGCAGAACCAGGTCTCATCTACGACATGGGCACACAAGACTACATTCTCTACTTATGCTCTGCTGGTTACAACGACTCATCTATCTCTCAGCTTGTCGGTAAAGTAACAGTCTGCTCAAACCCCAAACCTTCCGTTCTTGATGTCAATTTGCCTTCAATCACCATCCCAAACCTCAAAGACGAAGTCACTCTCACCAGAACTGTCACTAACGTCGGACCGGTCGACTCTGTCTACAAGGTCGTGGTCGAGCCTCCGCTTGGGATTCGAGCGGTTGTGACACCGGAGACACTAGTGTTTAACTCCAAAACCAAAAGTGTCTCCTTCACGGTTCGTGTCTCAACTACACACAAAATCAACACTGGATTCTACTTTGGAAACTTGATATGGACAGATTCTATACATAATGTGACTATCCCTGTGTCTGTGAGAACGCAGATTCTGCAAAACTACTATGATGAGAACTGAATGATTCTTATTACCTTGAATAATTTGTATCAAGCAAGTTCATCTTCCTTGCCCATATGTTAATAAACCAATAATACAAATCGACCTAGTGGTTTTTGCTTTGATTTAACATTATTACTTCCTATGGCGTTTTCATTCCCGTGTCGTATGGCCGCCTTGTATGTTGATTACCAATAATGGACTGCAAGTAATCTTTTTTTGATCAGGGAGACTTTTTCTTCAGAGCTTAGGATATTGGAATGGATGATACCAAGTAGTGCACTGCCACTAACAGAAGAACCAATTTTTTTACAGATTCTCAATCATCTCATAGGAGCTACGGTGGCTTTATTGCTGGTAATCTCTGTCGAATCCTGTGTTGACTCTAAACGTTTCTATAAACTAGAATTTAGTTGACCTTGTACAGTGTAAAACATTCCTTAGATTCTAAATATGTGATTATAATAGAAGAACATGGGAAAAGACCATGTCCAAGAAATGTCAACATTCTTGGAGAAGACATCCATATATACATGTTCGTGCTTCCTCGTATAGTTTCCATGTAGATTGAAATTGATGAAACACTTTATGCTTGGAATGAGGAATTTTAGATCATCAGTTCTTGTGGTGCTAAGTCTGATAATAGTTTTGAATGTCGCACGAGCTAGTGCTAAGAGCAAGGTAAATTTGATCTTCTTTATGATACATATAAAGGAGAATAGGTTTTAATCAACTTCTGGTTGTGTTGTGATGATAATTGTATAGGTTCATATAGTGTATCTGGGTGAGAAGCAGCATGATGATCCTGAATTTGTCACAGAATCTCATCACCAGATGTTGTCTTCACTTCTTGGAAGGTAAAAAGTTGATTCAATTCCAATGGGTCGCATTATGTCTAAAGCTCTTACTGAAGAGTTTTATTCTTGTGTCACAGTAAAGACAATGCCCATGAGTCAATGGTGTATAGTTATCGACATGGATTTTCAGGCTTTGCGGCCAAACTCACCAAGTCCCAAGCCAAGAAAATCGCCGGTACTCATTGCTGTTTTAACTCACACCCATGTCTTAGCATTCAAATACTTTGATCGTCTGAGCAAGACCAGCTGAATGTTTTCATTCCTGATGCACTTTCATTCTCCAAACAGATTCTCCTGAAGTTATTCATGTCATACCGGATGGTTACTATGAACTTGCAACAACGCGGACTTGGGACTACTTAGGTCTTTCTGCTGATAATTCGAAGAATCTCTTAAATGATACAAACATGGGTGATCAAACTATCATTGGCGTTATTGACACAGGTATACAACAGTAGTTTTCATCACATTCTAAATTTATCTTTGTTTCTGTTATGCTTAATTTCTTCATTTTAGCGCCTCAATGACTTGTGGTTTTGTGTGGTTGTAGGAGTGTGGCCAGAGTCTGAATCATTTAACGACAATGGGGTCGGACCAATACCGAGCCATTGGAAAGGAGGTTGCGAACCAGGAGAAAACTTCAGTTCAATAAATTGCAACAGAAAGCTCATAGGAGCCAAGTACTTTATCAACGGATTTCTTGCTGAAAACCAAGGATTCAACACCACAGAATCCCCTGACTATATTTCCGCTAGAGACTTTGATGGCCATGGCACGCATGTCGCCTCCACTGTAGGTGGTTCATTTGTTCCTAATGTAAGCTACAAAGGCCTTGCCAAAGGAACCTTGAGAGGTGGTGCACCTCGTGCTCGCATAGCAATGTACAAGGCTTGTTGGTATCTAAACGAGCTAGACGGAGTGACTTGTTCATTTTCTGACATCATGAAAGCAATTGACGAAGCTATACATGATGGTGTTGATGTTTTGTCACTCTCTCTCGGTGGTCGAATTCCTCTGAATTCTGAAACCGACCTACGTGATGGGATTGCTACTGGAGCATTCCATGCAGTCGCAAAGGGCATTGTAGTTGTCTGTGCAGGTGGTAATGCTGGCCCAGCATCTCAGACTGTGGTAAACACGGCTCCTTGGATTGTGACTGTAGCTGCAACCACTCTAGACCGGTCCTTTGCTACACCTATAATACTTGGGAACAATCAAGTGATATTGGTAAAACAGAGTAGCTCTTCTACAAACGTGTTTCTGCTTTTTCTTTAATCAACAAAACAAGTTAAGCCTTGGAACTTTCTGATTATGGGTACTGTTGCTGCAGGGTCAAGCAATGTACACAGGTCCGGAACTTGGCTTCACTAGTTTGGTTTACCCCGAGGATCCAGGGAACAGTTATGACACTTTTAGCGGGTAATTAATGATAACAAATCTCTTGGTGCTTGCTTAGTCATTTGTTCATTTTCCACTAAAGAACATCATTCTCTGATATCTTACTGAATATGTAACATTTTGCAGTGTGTGTGAGTCCCTTAATCTCAACCCTAACCATACAATGGCGGGAAGAGTTGTATTGTGTTTCACAACAGCAAGAGATTACGCTGTTGTATCCAGAGCTGCGTCTTTTGTGAAGGCAGCCGGTGGTCTTGGACTGATCATCGCAAGAAACCCGGGGTACAATCTCGCTCCATGTAGTGATGATTTTCCCTGTGTAGCCATTGACTATGAGCTTGGGACCGATATACTTTTCTACATACGTTATACTGGGTATGAAACTATGAATTATGATCTTACTTCTTACAGTAGCACATGCTCAGTTGTTTCATTCCCTTCCAAGAAACACGTAATCATAAGAAAAAAGATTACATACAGATCACCTGTTGTGAAGATACAACCTTCTAGAACACTCGTGGGAGAACCTGTTGGGACAAAGGTAGCAACTTTCTCATCAAGAGGGCCTAACTCGATTTCCCCAGCGATTCTAAAAGTATGCCTGGATCCTTATTATCTGAACCTATCATATTTTCTGCAATATCTCTAATTTGTTTCACAATGTAGCCTGATATAGCAGCACCAGGAGTGAGCATTTTAGCTGCTACATCTCCCAATGAAACCCTCAACGCCGGTGGATTTGTTATGCTTTCAGGAACATCAATGGCGGCACCAGTTATCTCAGGAGTTATTGCACTTCTCAAGTCTTTGCATCCTGATTGGTCTCCTGCTGCTTTTAGATCAGCCATTGTCACTACAGGTTCTTTATCTTCTTTCAACTAGAAAACAATCGAGCTGAAGAAAAACTTGGATTCCTCTTTAACTCAATACTCTTCTTTATTTTGCAGCTTGGAGAACAGATCCATTCGGAGAGCAGATTTTTGCGGAAGGGTCATCTCGAGATCCGTTTGATTATGGGGGAGGCCTCGTGAACCCAGAGAAAGCTGCAGAACCAGGTCTCATATACGATATGGGTCCGCAAGACTACATTCTCTACTTATGTTCTGTCGGTTACAACGAATCATCTATCTCTCTGCTTGTCGGTAAAGTAACAGTCTGTTCAAACCCCAAACCTTCCGTTCTTGATGTCAATTTGCCTTCAATCACCATCCCAAACCTTAATGACGAGGTCACTCTCACCAGAACCGTCACTAATGTTGGACCAGTCGACTCTGTCTACAAGGTTGTGGTCGAGCCTCCGCTTGGGATTCGAGTGGTGGTGACACCGGAGACACTAGTGTTCAACTCCAAATCCAAAAGTGTCTCATTCACGGTTCTTGTCTCGACCACACACAGAATCAACACTAGATACTTCTTTGGTAGCTTGACTTGGTCTGACTCTGTCCATAATGTTGTCATTCCTGTATCTGTAAGAACACAGATTCTGCTAAACTATTACGATGAGAACTGAATGATTCTTATTAGTTACTAGGGAAAAATCCGGGCTACGCCCGGTATATATTTGTCAATTTAGTTTACTTTGTTTAAACTTTTTTTTTACTATACTATACATATAATGTTGTATCTAAAAGAAAAAAAAAATTTAAGGAAAGATTTGGGTTTTCTAAAACCAAAAAACAAAAAAAAAATATGAAGATTTATGTTTAGGGATTACTTACACTTTCAATCGTTGGAAGTAGACCGAACTGAAGTTTAGAAAGCTCCACTTCTGTGATACATTTGCTAGAAGATTAAGAACTTACATAAAAAGTTTGACTTCACCGAATATATAATTTAGTCGAGAATGATATTGAATAGGTTTAACCTTTTTTTTTAATTGTAATCGAGTTTGAATGGATACATGTTTGTTGGCGAGAAAGTCGACTTGATTTTTTTTTCACTCATTGTTATTCAAAGAGGGGGTAAATAATAGTATATTCATTCTTGTTCTGTTTATTTTACCATAAACATATCTAAACACTGACAACAAATTCAAGAAAAAAATATCGACATCAAGAGATAAAATTTGAGTGACGACGACCTATCATAATACATAAAAGGGTAGAAGTACATAAATACTGACCAAGTTGATAATGCTTAGACCCACCCCCTTAAAAATTTAATTTGGAAGCTTTGATATGTTGTTATCTTAGCTGCAGTGACAATTACTTTGGCGGTTGGGGTCGAACTACGCTTTGGCATTTCTCATGGAGTTAACTACGGAGCCTAACATAGTAATTTATGTGTCATCATTAAAAATGACATCTTTATATCTAGCATGAACACTCCAGCTGCATGCCTGCATCATCATTCCAAACAATTATATATGTTTTTTAAAAAGACGAATTAAACGTTACTATTGTTTGGAATGATAATGCAGCTACTTGGAGACCATTTTTACTTTAAAAGCAAGTAATGAGTCTCATTAAAATTAAATTTGACTATGATCACATTTCAATAACTTGAGAATCTTCCAACACCGAATATGAGAATGAAAAGCAAACTGTTTGATAACTTAGTCTGAGATAAATATAAAGTGATACATAAACTTACCGGTCGGTACTACAAAGAGAGCTTCTCTCTCAACACTTAAACTTGTCCAAGCATGCATGTGCAAAGTGCAAACACGTGAAGTTAGTGGCATTCCTTTCCTGAGAAAGCTATGCATCAAGCAAATCATATATTTTAATATTAATGCAGAATTTAGTTGTACTTACAATTAGAGGCCGATCAAACACTTGATAGTCACCTTTTGGTTCGGCAACTTTGATGGGATCCCCAATCAAGATCAAAATTTGTAAGCCTTCTAAGAATCTGCTAAGCTCTGTTTTTACTATGCTTTGTTATATCCTCTCTTTCGTCTCTGTAAAGAAAAAGTAAAACTAATGGCCAAAGAAAAGCATAATGTTCACATCTTGTATAGACTTTAAAAAGAATGCACTTCCATAGTCACGGAATTTTTGAGGAAACTCGTCCAGGGTAAATGGCCAAAGACCAAAAACGTATGTGAAAGTGATTAAGAATCTTTACACCTAAATGTTTTCAACCAAATTTAAGAAGTTAGGGGGCGAAAAAAATAAAGCAAAAACTCGTTTCTATGTATATATAGTCACATTTTTCCTATGACGTGGGAAAATAAATGGTTCTGGAGAATGGTTAACTGATTAATCTAACGACCTTAAAGAAATTTTATTTGCATTTGAGGTTATTGGTTGCAGGTGAATTGCCAAAATGATGCTGTTGGGCTGTTAAATTTTATTAAGCATAAAACAAAATAATTCCCACTCATTTGCTCTACAAAGGAGAAATGTATGGAGAACAATAATGTATTATCCAAACTATAATTTAACCTGGCAATAAGCTGTATATAAATCACAGATTGAGCGAGAGAGTAAGGAAACCCGTTTACCTTTTTAATGCAGGACTGAATCATATGTGTCCATGTTTTCAATGTACTTTCACTATAGAATTATATTGTCTCTCTGCAACAATTAAAAGAACGTAATATGCCATGCTAAAATGCCAATGGTAAAGCATATTGCCTCATGATCCATTGGTAAAGAAATATACCTAACATTAGTGTTAGAGAGAATCACAATTTATACCTTACAATCACTAAATCAGACAAATATTCCCACAGAGCATAAATATCAATAAGACTTTTAAAATGTACGTTTACACAACATATACAAAGTAAAACAGAGAAATCATATTTCACTTTTTAAGACTACGAAAGTGTGATTGTAGAAATGTGTGGTAGTGTAAAATTCCAGACGGGAAACAAAGCATTAAATATGAGATATGGCTTCTCACCGTTGGGTATATCAGATTCGTTTTGTTGGAACTATAAACCTCACATCAGTCTCTTCAAATACTTGAATCTTGATCCTGAAATAGGGAGATGATGGTGTCGCATAATTTCTTACTTTAGACGCAAATCACCAAAGAAAGTAGTTTTTTCACTATAACATGGTTTACCCGACTGTGTATTTGTGTCTTTGTATGCATAGATTCTGGACATCGTTGATGGATACTCTCTTTTGAAAACCCAGAATTTCTCCTTTGAACGTCGTTAGCATCTGTAGAATTTAGAGTGCCGCACCTGTAATCAACAAAAACGATGGTTACTAAAGCAGAGGAAGATTACGATACTAAAACAGAGAGAGATCACAGATCACGATTTTATATGAATCTTGGCGTTGAGTTTTCTTTCCCAGGTTTATGTTTATGTCGTACTAAACCTAAAATAAAACGACAACAAAGATCGGTGGCCGACGTAGGTGAGAGAGAGACTGTAATCTCGATGATCAAACATGATTGTGGTGAGGAAAGGACATGATTAGATGGACGGAAGGTGGAACGGTTCCACTTCCAGGAAGTTATCATCTCAAAGACCTAATTCGGCACGTAGAGAATTGTGGGTGAATGAAAAATTATTTATCTTCTTTAACGTGATTACGTGGCAGCCTTAGGTTGAAATTTGAGAAGCTGATGTGGACACTCTTAGAAGCCTCAATGAGCTTCTTTTATTAGTAAGAGATTATTTATTTATTACCCTGAATAAATTGTATTCAATCTCTTCCTCCTTGGCCATGCGTTAATAAATAAACTAATAAAGACGAAGCGACCTAGTGGATTTTGTCATTTGTTTTAAATGTAAACATTCTTTGAAGGAGCCATCAGACATCTATGTATAAATGCTCGTGCTTCCTCAACGAAACATTTTTGTTTGCTTGGAATAAGGAATTTTAGATCATCGATCAGTTCTTGTGGTGCTATGTCTGATAATAGCTTTGAAATTATATCTTGTTAAGGTGTCTTGATCATCTAGAATAAATAAGACCACACAAAGAAAACAAAAGCATTCTTGGCCACATAAAGAATAAATATGTGCTTGACCAAGACATTTCCATTTCTTGAATTTTCGTCTCAGCCTCCACAAGTTGTAGTATATACAATTGCATAAAAACTACATCACGTTTCTATATAATATGTTGGTGCTTCCTTAAAACTATTCAAGTAGATTCAAAGAAAATGAAACACCATTTTTTGTCTGGAATGAGGAGTTGGAGATCATCCATTCTCTTGGTGCTTAGTCTTATAACAATTCTGAATGCCGCACAAGCTGGTTCTGAGAGCAATTAAGGTAAGTTGTTCTTTTTTTATCAAACAGCAAAAAAGTTTAAACAAATAATCGGTTAAGACCAACTTTTGGTTGTGTTGTGATGATAAACAAATAGGTTCATATAGTGTATCTCGGCGAGAAGCAGAATCATGATCCTGAGTTTGTCACAGAATCTCATCACCAAATGCTTGTGTCACTTCTTGGAAGGTAAAGATAGCTGATTGATCAATTATCCAGTTCTTGTGTGTTGCATTATGTCTCAAGCTTTTTACCAAGAGTTTTATTTTGTGTCACAGTAAAAAGGATGCTGATGACTCAATGGTGTATAGTTACCGACATGGCTTTTCAGGTTTTGCGGCCAAGCTCACCAAGTCCCAAGCCAAAAAAATCGCTGGTACTCGCGGCTGTTTTAAGTGTCACACACCTTGTCTTTGCTTATTAACACTAGTTTAACTGTCTAAGCAAGACTAGCTGAATGTTTTCATTGCTGATTCTGGAAACAGATTTACCTGAAGTTGTTCATGTCATACCGGATGGTTTCCATGAACTCGCGACAACACGGACATGGGACTACGTAGGCCTTTCTGCTGCCAATCCAAAGAATCTCCTAAATGATACAAACATGGGTGACCAAGTTATCATTGGCGTTATTGACACAGGTATAGATTATTTTTGTTTTTGTTTCTTTTACTTTCTTTATTTTAGCGCCTCAATGACATGTGGTTTTGTGTGTGGTTGTAGGAGTGTGGCCAGAGTCTGAATCATTTAATGACAATGGGGTTGGACCAATACCAAGGCAATGGAAAGGAGGCTGTGAATCAGGAGAAAACTTTAGATCAACAAATTGCAACCGAAAGCTCATAGGAGCCAAGTACTTTATCAACGGGTTTCTTGCTCAAAACAAAGGATTCAACTCCACAAAATCCCCTGACTACATTTCCGCTAGAGACTTTGATGGCCATGGCACACACGTCGCCTCCATTGCGGGTGGTTCATTTGTTCCCAACGTAAGCTATAAAGGCCTTGCTGGAGGAACCTTGAGAGGTGGTGCACCTCGTGCTCGCATAGCAATGTACAAGGCTTGTTGGTATCTAGACGAGCTAAACGGACTGACTTGTTCAAATTCTGACATCATGAAAGCAATTGATGAAGCTATGCATGATGGTGTTGATGTTTTGTCAATCTCTCTTGTTGGTCAAGTTCCTCTGAATTCTGAAACCGATCTACGTGATGGGTTTGCAACTGGATTATTCCATGCTGTGGCAAAAGGCATTGTAGTTGTTTGTGCAGGTGGTAACGATGGCCCAGCAGCTCAGACTGTGGTAAACATAGCTCCTTGGATCATAACAGTGGCTGCAACCACTCTAGACCGGTCTTTTCCCACTCCTATTACACTTGGGAACAATAAAGTGATCTTGGTAAAGCAGAGTATTTGGTTATCACCTTTTTTTTAATGGAACTTTCTGATTATGAGTATTTTTAATTTTACTTCAGGGCCAAGCAACGTACACAGGTCCGGAACTTGGCTTAACTAGTTTGGTTTACCCAGAGGATGCAAGGAACAGTAACGAGACCTTTAGCGGGTAAGTAACAAGAACATTTGTTCAGTTTTCATTAAAGAGCATCATTTTCTGAGTCTGTAACATTTTGCAGTGTGTGTGAGTCCCTTAATCTCAACCCTAACCTTACAATGGCCGGGAAAGTTGTCTTGTGTTTCACAACCTCAAGAACTAACGCTGCAATATATAGAGCTGCATCTTTTGTGAAGGCAGCTGGTGGTCTTGGCTTGATCATCTCAAGAAACCCGGCGTTCACTCTCGCGTCATGTAACGATGATTTCCCATGTGTTGCCATTGACTACGAGCTCGGGACCGATATACTTTCTTACATACGATCCACGAGGTATGTAACTATGAATTTATGATATTCACTTATTACAGAAACAGAGAATCATAAGAAAAAGATTACAGATCACCTGTTGTGAAGATACAACCTTCTACAACACTCTCTGGACAACCAGTTGGGACAAAGGTGGTAAACTTCTCATCAAGAGGACCTAACTCGATGTCCCCGGCTATTCTAAAAGTATGCCTTAAACTTCTCATCAAGAAATTCTGCAGTATCTAACTGTTTAAAATCATAAGAATATTTATTTTCGCGATACAGCCCGACATAGCAGCACCAGGAGTAAGGATATTAGCTGCTACATCTCCCAATGACACCTTAAAGTCCGGTGGATTTGCTATGCTTTCAGGAACATCGATGGCGACTCCAGTTATCTCAGGAGTTATTGCACTTCTCAAAGCTTTGCATCCTGATTGGTCTCCTGCTGCTTTTAGATCAGCCATTGTCACTACAGGTTCTTATCATCTTCCAACTATAGAATCTTGAATCCCTCTTCCACTCAATAACTGTTGTCTTTTCTTTGCAGCTTGGAGAACAGAACCATTTGGAGAACAGATTTTTGCAGAAGGATCCAAAGTAGCTGATCCGTTTGATTATGGTGGAGGGCTTGTAAACCCAGAGAAAGCTGCAGAACCCGGTCTCATATACGACATGGGTCCGCAAGACTACATTCTCTACTTATGTTCTGCCGGTTACAACGAGTCATCAATCTCTCAGCTTGTGGGTCAAGTAACTGTCTGCTCAAACCCCAAACCTTCCGTTCTTGATGTCAATTTGCCTTCAATCACCATTCCAAACCTCAAAGACGAGGTCAATCTCACCAGAACCGTCACTAACGTTGGACCATTCGACTCGGTTTACAAAGTCGTTGTCGACCCTCCGCTTGGGGTTAGAGTGGTTGTGACACCTGAGACACTAGTGTTTAACTCCAAAACCAAAAGTGTCTCCTTCACGGTTCATGTCTCGACCACACACAAAATCAACACTGGATACTACTTTGGTAGCTTGACTTGGACTGATTCTGTCCATAATGTGGTCATTCCTCTGTCTGTGAGAACGCAGATTCTGCAAAACTACTATGATGAGAACTGATTATTGATGGATCTTTATGTGTTTGTGCGAATAAAGTCAAAGGTGATTTCAGTAAAACCCGTCTCTCTGCGTTTGGATATCTCAACCCATAATATTTGCCCATCTTTTCTTCCTCCCCAAGAAACTTATTTGTTCATCTTTTCTTCTTCCCCAAGAAACTTAGGAATATAAGAATAAGCTTTACGTAGATGGTATGAATATTCAAGCCAACTACATTAATAGTATTATTAATCAATCATCTACATAATGACACACTAAAAAAGAAATCAACGCAAATAAACGAGTGAAGAATCTAAAGTTACAGTTGCAAGATTTTCGAATTAATACAAAGGCCTAATCAGTCTCCATCGTAATAACGCTGCATGATCTGAGCTCTCTCACACACACAGGAGCACCAAATTATGAACAGAGGCAGTCCAAGTCAAGCTTCCAAAGTAGTCACTCTATGGTAATTAGTGTTCAATGCTAAGACCAGGAAGCTCACGTTCACGTTAACACTTAACACCCATCGGAACCTCAATCACAGCCTTATAAACCAACCCTACTGGTTCAACATATTGCTAATTATAAACCGTTCGAGACTTCTAGTGATAGTAACTTCTTTTGTAAGGTTTGGGGTTGTTATTGAGGGCAAGTTAAGATCAAGAACTGAAGGTTTGGGGTTTGCACAAATCGTCTTCTTGTGGACGAGTCTAGTAATAGATGAATCCGTGAAACCAACAGAGAAAAATAGAGAACGTAATCGTTAAGAAGACCATGTTTCGCGATTCAGTGTATGTGAAAAAATATAGAACTATGTATTGATTTTAAATGTTTTTAAAAAATGATCAAACAAAACTGAGAGGAAAATCTATATATAATAGCAATCTAATAAATATCATTTGCACATCTGAACGGTTGCGTCTTTTTATCGCAACTTTTCGTTAATGTTTTATTAATTAAAATATATATTTTACGGTTATGTTTTTTTTTATAAATTGCATTCTGAATGTTTTCTACGGTTGCGTATTTTATTGTAACTCTTCATAAACAGTTGAAACCGCTTATTCGAATCATTGCAATATTTAGTTTATTTTAAGAACAATTGCAACCTTTGGTTTATATATTTAGTTTATTTCACGAACAATTACAATTTTTGGTTTATTTTATAAATAGGTGTAACATTTAATTATCTACCGCCGCGTCTCTCGGTATAACTTTTCATAAATTATTATTTTAATTCTTAATTTTTAATTACTAAAATGTATTTAAATGAGATTGTAACTATTTAATTGAACTGTTTCAACATTTGGATTATTTGACGAATTATTGCAACTTTTGGTTATGTGTTACGAACCATTGTTATCTTTAGTATATTTGATGAACTATTGCAACATTTGGTATAATTGACGAACCGTTGCAGTTTTTGGAATATTTGATATCTACGGTTGCGTTTCTCGGATAAGTTAGTCATATTTTTAAAAAATATTTAAATGAAATGTTGTTACCGTTTAATTTAACACAATAGCATTTGGTTAATTTGACGTTGAAAGTTTTGGCTTATTTATCAAACCATTGTAATATTTGGTTTATTAGTTTATGCTTTTTGCACTTGGGAATAGTTTTTTAGTTACAAATTATTGTTTTTCTAATATTAATATACTTAATAAATACTCGTGAGGGTTTTCTTTATCATAATCTTTGTAAAATATATATTGATTTGTTATTAAAAAAATTCAAAATTATTACAATTCATTATGATTTTTTTCGTTTGATATTTTTTTAAATGATTTTTGAAATATATTCACCCGCGACATCGCGGGGGTCCTGAGTCCTAGTATTTAATAAAAGCATTTCTAAATATTAACCAAAGAAAATATTAATATTTCCTTAAAACAAATGAATGAATTAAAATTTATATTGATTTCAATTTTTAATTTTTAGATTACCTTTTCTAATTGCAATTAAAAACTTCATACACATAATTCCAATAGCAATTGATGAATTAAATACCATGATTGAATTTGAACATTCTCCAAAATGTACTTCTCTTTTGATAGTATAAGATTTTGCTAGTTGCAAATTATGTAATAAAGTACAAATTAATGATTTTTTCTCTTAACAAGATTATCTTTTTGATATATAGCAGGATATTAAAAGAAAAACAAAAGCAATAAACACCCACGGAAGCTTACAAGTTGTATGGATCAGCATAAATTTCATTATCGATGAATTAGTCGCTACTAGGGTAGAGTAAATTCTACATGTTCCCTAGTTTTCAAGAAAAAAAAAAATTCTTAATCAAGAATTATTCAATAGAAGTTTAAAACCCAACAAAACAATATTCAATCAAAAAAACTTTAATCAAATCAATACTAAAACTAAAAGCATAGCGGGTATAAAACTAACGAGTAATAAAGCAACAAAACAATCTTGCAAGTCTCTATCTGCAACACTGAGACAAGCTGACCAGAGACCAATCAAACACACGGAAAAAGGTATTCCAATCCACAATGCTAGCATGGGAGAAATTATATAGAGGAGATGGAAGACGACAACGAACCCAAAGACATGACTGAAGCATTCGAGAGAATATAAACGATCATCCAAGGGTTCTATAGGTACCGGAAGAGCTGTGTAGATGTAGAAGACCAAGAGCCCAAATAGCACACCGTTTTTACATTCATACAACGGAATGTTGTTGAGTCTTATGAACAAGAACGCTGCCAGACCGGATGACACGATGAGTACGTGCATCATGATGATGTATAGCTTTTCATGCCAGGACCTTCCATGCAAAAAAAAAAAAAACAATCATATGCAATTAGTAAGAAATTCAAATAGCCATTTAAACCATCAGAATTTAAATATTAAAATCACCGATTCACTCACCATGTTTTAGATTCAGCCATCGTTTTTTTCTACCCCTTGATGATAAATATTGTCATACAATTTGTTAGTCAATCTTTGTGTTTTATTACTATACTAGATCCTGACCCGCACGTTCGTGCGGGAGAAGTGTTTTAATGAATATTTTTGCATAAAGTTTGTATTAATATATTTTGTTGGGTTAGTGAATTATAAAATAGTATAGATACCATAAACTTAGCATAATAATTGTAGAATTATATTTTGTGCTTTAAAAATAGTTTGGTGCAAAAGTTTGTATTTTCTATTTGATTAGTTTTAGAATTGAAAGTTGAGAATTTTAAAAATAAATTAGCGTTAGATTTAGATAATTTTATATGTGTTTTCTTAAATATATAGTTTGGTGCATAACATATAATTTGAACAGTGGGAGAAGTTATGTGTTTAATAATGCATCCTTCACCCATTTAATATTAATGAATTTTAATTTATTTATTTGGACAGATTTTATTTTTTTACAGAACAATCGTTGTTTGTCCTTGTTGCTTTTTACTGCCTAACACGTGTCTGAGTGAAGATATCTCTTCTTCTTCCTTAGCGTATCATCGACTGGGCTTTTCATGGGCTGCTTAATTTTGTAAACCCATTATGTACTCTTGCTGATGTATGTTGTCTTATTAATAAAATCCAGAGAAATTTTTTTGTAAAAGGAACAATCGTTGTCTCATCTTTAAAAAAAAAAGGAAAACCCACCGAACAAAACTAATAACATAAAAAAAAAAAAAACTAAGAACATGGCTCGATCGAAGAATCAATTGCGATAGCTATTCCGTCTCCGTTTATACTGTGTTGCAAATCGTGAATTCCTTAAAGAGGTAAGGATATTATTGAATCAGATCTATAGTTCTACTGATTTTTAATATGTTGGTTCAATTCCCAATCTGTGAATTTTTATGTTTGAATAGAGATCTTTGTCCAAGGATTGTCAAGAAGCTAGATCTTCAATGGGTAATTATTGTCAATTGAATATCCAAATTTTTGTTCAGTGAATTAAATCAACTAACACGAATTTGATTTCGTGTAGTTTTTGTCGTTAGCTACAGAAGCAAGATGAACATTAAAACTCCAGTTTACCGAACTATTTTTTTTAACGCATAAATTTTTAACCGTATATTCTGTTACCTGAAAAGAGTTCTACTTAATTTAGCTTCTATATATATATATATATATATATATATTTCAATATACTACAAATATAGTGATGTTAATGGAAGAAGAGGATAAACAAAGAAAAAAAAACTAATACGATTATTAGAAAACAATAGCTATTACCAAAAATTTAAACATGTTACAAACAAATTTGAATGTATCCAGGTCAAGCGTAAATTGCGAGTAACATAAAGATATGGAGGAGGCTATCAGTCATTGGAGCTTTTCAGAAATCTATATGTTAGAGGTTAGTGAGATCATAATTTAGACACTCTGTTTATTAGATTTGCATATTTACCAGTCTAATTTTGGTTGCTTCATATAGAAAACTTTGTTTTCCCCTAGTATATGCTAATATGAAAGTACTAAATAAGAGATGCAAAGTACAAATTTTTTTGCCATTGTTTGATATGCATTAATCACCTTTACACGAATGAACGATTTCACTTGGATTCTATAGCTTGTCTTGAAAGGTTTGATGTTAGCAAGATTGGTGATACCAAGATTTCATCCATTGTTAGAAATGAGAAACGAAGTAGCAAAATTGGTCTTTTGCAGCCATTTTTTATAAAGGAGTAGCAAAAGGTTAGGGGTCGTTTGAAAGCTTAATGAGTATTGAAAATGTTATTAGACATTCTATATTTATAGGAAAAAGAGGTCGGCTAGGGTTTAGACCTATTAGATCAAAAGAATATATTTGCAAATCCATTTTTTAAATAAAGTTTTAAGGTATATACTTGATTTCAGATGTAATGAATATATAGTTATTGTGATATTTGGAAAATATGTTAACTGAATTCGAATCAGATTGAAAACAACCTTCAAATTTGAATATTTTTGAACGAATTATTGTTACCTTTACTATCTATCCTTATTTTGTATACGAAATTTATGGGATACGTTTGTTTTGGTAATATCTTTAAAGTTTAAATACGTAAATGTCTTTTTTTGTTTCTTCTTAGATTTGCATATATGGGATTTGGTTGTTATAGA